AAAAAAAAAAAAGTAAAAAAAAGACTAAAAAAGTTGATTTCAAACCTCGTGCAAGTAAGTGCATCGATGATCGCTCCCCTTGCAAAATCTCGAACACCTCCCTCCCGCGTCCTATTGTCCTCTCCTCTGGCACGCTCCACAACGTGTATGTTCACAACGCCCTCTCTCTCTCTCTCTCTCTCTCTCTCTCTCTCTCTCTCTCTCTCTCTCTCTCTCTCTCTCCAGCACGTCGGTCCGTGGTCGCCTTCGAAACTCCTGCCGCTCGCGCGAAAAAAAAAAAACTGGTGGGAACGGGACGCTCAACCACGCGAAAACAAAAACTGGCGGGAGAAAGTTCAGGAGCCAGGCCCCAAAAAAAAATTTGGCGCGAGAAACTTTGGGAGCCGTGCTGGGCGCAAGAAACTTCTGGAGCCACACCACACGCTAGGCAAAAAAGGGGAAAAAAAAACGTCGCCCCGGGTGTCGTCCGGGCCCATCCCTGGTGTCCCTGACTCCGTTCCCAAGAGTGGCAGCTGGGCCTGGCGGGAGCGTGACGCTAGACCCGCTATTCGCTTAAAGATAGTAAGGGATAACAAAAGGAAGGATTGAAGAGGTTGTTTTGCTCCCCCTTGTTTCAGGATTGCTGAAGAGATATTCGGTCACCCCGGGTAGACTGTGAGGACCCCGGCCTCAATCTTCTTATTGAAAATATAAGCCTTGGGCAAAAAAAAAAAAAAAACCACGGAGTTTTTTTTTTTTTCCGATGATTGATTGATTGATTGATTGCTTGATTGATTGATTGGTGTGGGAGGGGTCGCCCACACCCCGCCCCACCCCCCACGCGTGCGCGCGCACACACACACACACACATGGCAGTGTATATTTCCATGTTCTAGCGGAAGATTCATTCGATTTTGTTCATCCTATCGATGGAAAACTCTCTCTCTCGCTCTCTCTCTCTCTCTTTCTCTCTCTCTCTCTCTATATATATATATATCCCTTACTATCTTTAAGCGAATAGCGGGTCTGGCGTCACGCTCCCGCCAGGCCCGGCTGCCACTCTTGGGAACGGAGTCAGGGACACCTGGGATGGGCCCGGACGACACCCGGGGCGGCGTTTGTTTTTTTCCTTTTTTGCCTTGCGTATATATATATCTTCTTTCTCTTTGCCTACGGTTTACCGAGCAGTTCTGAAAAACTCTCTCTCTCTCTCTCTCTCTCTCTCTCTCTCTCTCTCTCTCTCTCTCTCTCTCTCTCTCTCACACACACACACACACACACACACACACACACACATACTTACTCTCAGTCATATAACCCCACAAACACATTTACACATATCCACACAGGGACATACATACACCCACACAATACACACAAAAGAATAACCCCCCCCCACATACACACTCTTGCCCCTCACACACACACACACACACATTTATAATTTACAATATATACACACACACAGGGTTGCCAGGCCGGACGTACAAAGGCCCCTAAGCTGACCCCCGAACGTTCCGGCGTTCGGGTCCCCGTACGGCGCCCGAACTTGAAGGGGTTCGGACCCCGCAAAAAAATATTTTCGCACCCAAATATTATTAATTTTTTCTGAATTTTTTTTGGTGAGTTCTTTGTGATGTAAGGTATCCCCGGTTTAATTTTGAAGTCATTCTGTTCAGCCAAAACAAAATGAGCAATCCTCAAAGGTGGTGGTGTCAAAACTTGCTTGCGCACTCACAAATTTGTTTTTTCCCTCTTTTCATTTTTTGTTTATCCTTTATTTCGGGGCCTAAAACAATTTTTTTTTTTTTTTTAAATATATTCGTAGATTCTCTATTATGTAAGATACACATATATAAATTTTCATGGCATTTGCCACAGCCCAAAAACAATGAAAAATCGTCAAAAATGGCGGTGTCAAAAACGTGCTCGCCGACTCAATAATTTAATTCTCGTTTTATTTTTTCTAATTTTGAATTTTCATTATTATTATTTATTTTGAGTATTTCATTTTTATTTCAAATTTGGTAAGGAACTTGGATATAACGTTGAGGCAAATGTTGTTTAGTTTATTCTTCTGCGTAACATATATTGTTTTCGGATTTTTTGGATTTTTTTTTTTTTTTTTTTTTTTTTTTTTGGATCCGAACGCGTCAAGAGGTGGTGCCGAACGTTCGGGCGTTCGGGTTCGGGCGTTCGGCCCGTCCCGAACGCCGGCAACCCTGCACACACATATATATATATTTTCCATCTGGTGTGGGTGAGTGATAGTCTACTTTGATTTTGGTTCAGGTGGATTATCACTTACAGCGTAATCAGTGAGGGGATTCTACAGACTGTTGAGGGTTCAGCCTCCTGATGAGTCGGTGAAACTCCGACGAAACAGTTTGTCACAGCCCCTCGTTTGTTGTCCTCTTCTCCCTCTCTGCCTATGGTTTACCGGGCAGTTCTATTTGACGCGATATATATATATATATATATATATATATATATGAACATACATACATTATTCTGGCACACACACACACACGCAGACATACACACACATGCATAAAATGTTTACAATTTTTTTTTTTTTTTAAGGGGATAACAGCAAATTAGATTTCCATCAAAGATTTACAAAAATCTATCCAAACAATAACAATCATAACAGTAATACCCTCGGCAGCCAACACCCCCAACACCAACACATCTAAACCACTAACGCATACTTCGCAAGACATACAATAACTCCAAATTCTTCAATCCTTCCTTAAAAAACACTAGGAACAAGATACCTCTTTAACAGTTATGGGTACAAAATCGCTGCAAAGAACCTTTAAAAAAAAAAAAAAAACATAAAAAAAAAACAACAAATAAATACAAAATAAAAAGATTTTCCAAAAAATAATAATAAACAAATCACCAAAACACTTGGGGTGTGAAGCTTCTTGATCAATGGATTACATCGGTCAAAGAGGCTGCGGTTGGAGCAGCAGTTTAGATTCTTGGCCAAATCAGTTGGGGTGTGAAGTTTCTTGATCAATGCATGGATACGACATCTGTGAGGGGAACGGGTGTTGTGTCTACGAGCTCATCTCACTGTGGCATAAGGCCTCGTACATAGGGTCTACTTACTGTAACTTACAGGGGTGTATCCGAACGCTGGTCTGGGACATTCTGTCTAGGAATCACATGAAGAGTAGGAGGAACCACAAGCTTAGAAGGTGGTTAGAGCCGAAGAGATGGGAGAACTATGTTGCTATTCCTCTCCGATTTGCACCTATCAGCGAACTGAGATGCTTGGAAGACTCATGTATTGCTAGATGGGCCCCGACACTGAATACGGTCAAACGAAAGCAAAGACAAAAGAGCAATAGAAAGGGCAAAAGGGAGCGCAAGGCAATCGCTAAGAAAAACATTAGAGACCCCGCCAACTGCCACTTACAGGAGCATTCTATTGTGGAAAGTAGCAGTTGGTAATTTGTTTTGGCATGCATCAAGAATTCAGGAGGATACTATTTTTTTGATGGGTGGGGACGATTGAAGAAAACATTTGGATGGTCTATCATTAGCAGCGTTGACACGCCGGGATCCCCGGGGCCCAAGCCGG